GATTTCATTGCCTTTGTTAATAATAAAATGAATGATTTCTCTCCTGCTCCACATTATATAAGAGTTAGTACACCATAAAGTTGATTGATCTTTTGATAGATTTACATAATACATTTCGATATGTATGATGATTTGCATGTAAACTTACCTCTTTGCTACACTTACCTGCTTAGGAGAAATGGGACGTTCTTATTCTCATATAACACCTGGAACCAAATGGTTTGGGGGCGGTGCAGTTTCAGTTTGTATGTTTATTTATTTATTACAGTTGTTCTGTGTATGTTCGTTTCCTGAGTGAAGATCTACATCAGGAAGAAGGGGGGAAACTGTTATGTACTGAGTTGAATAGGATCCAAAATGCAGCAGTCTGATTGGTCCTAGAACAATAGGATCCAGAATGCAGCAGTCTGATTGGTCTGCAGGAGCCACCCAATCCAACTCCGGGTGGAAGTGAATCCGCAACCTGATTGGCCTACAGGAGAATCCCAGAATTAGCCAATCATGTGGGGCCCATTGTGTAAATAATGTATATAAAGCAGACATTTCAGGGAAACTTCCATTCCTCACTACTCTGAGCTGAATAAAGAGCATGAAATCCACACTCGACTCCGAGTATATTTCAGAAACAAAGATCGCAAGCAAGGCAGGAATAAAGATTTACATCGGGAACTAGGGTGGGGGGAGCTCACCAGCAGCTCCTATTCACCAAGAGGCCGCTGAAGAGGTGGCATTGCGGAGGATGCATTTCATGGAGGCTGGATCTGCTGTCCTTGTAGATCCTGCCGCCTGAGCCGGTTGCTTCACCTTGCCTCATGGGTGAGCTGGGCCTGCTTCACAAAGCTGCCATTGCCCCAAGGTCTCTGGCAGCTGCCTCTTTTGTGTGGGTGGTGCCATTTGGCGACATAAGCAACAGCGCTTATAGTCTGAGCATCAAAAATAGAAGGCATTATATTGTCACATGTGTACTCTTTGCTGCACAAACTAGGACTATGTACATATTGAGAAGCGAAGTTACAGGGAACCAGGCAGAGGGCCTTCTTGATAGTGGCGCCCGCCCTGTAGAACTCCCATCAGATGTCAAAGAAATAAACAACTATCTGACATTTAGAAGACATCTGAAGGCAGTCCTGTTTAGGGAAGTTTTTAATGACTGATGTTTTAATGTACAGTGGTACCTCAGGTTACATACGCTTCAGGTTACATACGCTTCAGGTTACAGACTCCGCTAACCCAGAAATAGTACCTCAGGTTAAGAACTTTGCTTCAGGGTGAGAACAGAAATCACGCAGCTGCGGCGCAGCGGCAGTGGGAGGCCCCATTAGCTAAAGTGGTGCTTCAGGTTAAGAACAGTTTCAGGTTAAGAGCGGACCTCCAGAACGAATTAAGTACTTAACCCGAGGTACCACTGTATTTTTTATCTTTTGTTGGAAGCTGCCCAGAGTGGCTGGGGAAACCCAGCCAGATGGGTGGGGTAGAAATAATAAATTACTACTACTACTACTACTACTACTACTACTACTACTACTACTACTATAAAGCATATTCAAAGCGCATTCTCTTTCCCTCAAAGAATTCTGGGCACGGTAGTTTTCCCCTCACAGAGTTACCATTCTCAGCAGTCCTTAACAAACTACAGTACCCAGAATTCTTTGAGGGGGGGAACATGCTTCGAGTGTGCTTGAAAGATGTAAGTGTTTATGCACAGTCACTGTGATGGAAGGATTGTGTTTCTTTCGTCTGCCCAGTGCTGGGAGGTTCTAGGATACATTTTCAAGACACAAATTAAAATGAAGCCCATCCATCAACAGCTTGCACGTTTCAGGCGGAAATGTCCCATTAGAACAGGTCTTCGGGCTCCTTCCCTGCTCCCAAGGTGGTGCCACGACAGACTCCTGAGGGCACAACTCAGAAATGGCTGCACAGCCTTGGAGCTTCCCCACACCAGCCAAGCCCCATCTAATGCCAATCATAGCTACAAAAATGCTTTGCAACAACTGCCAGAGTGGCTCCCAGTCCAGGGAACAAGGAATCACAGACTTGTTGGCGGTCCTGTTGTCTCTGCTCCTATCAGTCACCAGCTGATTCTCAGTTCATTTATTTCAAGATTTATACGCTGGTGAGCTGCAAACAATCTCCCAGCTTAGGAAGCAGAGCTCTCTGCTCTCTGACCCATGGCAAGTTCTGTGCCGAAAAGCTGGGGACACATACCTCACAGAGGATGATATTGTTTCACGATAAGTTAATTTGTTCTTGTAAATTAGCCAAAGGATCAAGCCAGCAGCGTTCTGAGTGAAATTGTTTTAAGAGTTTGCATGTGAAATAATATATTATCATCCAGCAAAGAGAGTTCCACAAGTATAGGGCCAGCCATATCACCAAGCTATGAAATTTCCCAACCCCAGCCATGCTTTAGGTTCATCAATAGAGGGTGTCAATATGGGGGATGACACCATAAGCAAAGCACCCAATAATAGTCCACTGTCTGCACAGTGCAGCCGAGTGTTGAATGATTGGGTCCCTAGATGGCAACCTTGGGCCAGTTGCCTTGGATAGAAGAGAGTGAAGGAAATGAGTTTAAACACTTTAAATTACACAAAAAATAATTATTATTGGGATGCAGGGGCTAAAACATAGCTGTCAACTTTTCCCTTTTCTTGCAAGGAGTCCTATTCAGAATAAGGGAATTTCCCTTTAAAAAAGGGAAACGTTGACAGCTATGGGCTAAAATGACAGTGATGTAGATGATACACCACGGTTCTGCAAATGATGGGGCATGGGCTCTGAATTGGTTTTTCTAAATTCCCCAAGTGTTTCTAGATGGCTAATGAATTCAGGAGCAAATGAATTGGGGGAATTGTTTGTTTGTTTGTTTGTTTGTTTGTTTGTTTGTTTGTTTCATAAACTTTATACACTTTTTGATTGGTTTTGTGTATTTTTTTTGAAGCCTCAAAGTGGTTTAGAAATTATGATCTGGGTTACTGGGTAGGACATTCATTTGAGACAACACACACACACACACACACACACACACACACACACACACAAACTACCTCCAATACAATTGCATAGTTGACTCCCCCCCCCTTCACGGTTCCTTTTCTAATTTAAATTTTATAACACTGCATTTTCCACTTTACTCCGTTTTTTTAGCTATTCTTCCATTTATCTTAGTACAATTTTAACTGCTTGATTTAAATCAATCCTACTAATGAACTTACTTGTATGCAAGACAACAGATTAATTTAATATGTCTTTATGTAGAGATGATTTGAGGTTAATGAAGGAGGTAAGCAAAGGCGAGTGAAACTGATTTGGGGCAGGATCCATTGATAAATTATTTGGGGTGATCGGGGGTGTGGTGCCAATTAAAGACTGGACTTTCTGCAGCAAGGAAAGTGATGGGGAAAGGCACTGCAAAGTACAGGATAACACTTGCTTTGACCCAGCTAGAGGTGGGTGAGTGTCTATTTCAGTTTCTCTCCATTTTTCATTTTACCAAGTTTAAGATCAGTTCTCCACATTTCCACATGAGGTTGATTATTATTTTTTAAGTTCACATGAAAATTCATCTGCATTTTAGTGCGACTTCCCCCCAATATGAACATTTTTTGCAAAGCCATTTCCCCCAATGAAATGCATGTTTGGATTTTATTTTTACTACTGTATTCGTTTTTTGGCACAGTCTATGCATTTTTGCACATGCTAAATGGAGAAATGTGTTGCAAAATTCACAAAAGTGCAAGTTCCAAAGAAAAGCTGTGTTTCAGTTCATGCATTGTTTTGGAAAGAGGGACTCATGGAGGTTCACCTTTAAATGTGTACTGCAGGGGTCAGCAAACTTTTTCAGCAGGGGGCTGGTCCACTGTGCCTCAGACCTTGTGGGGGACCAAACTATATTTTTTTTGGGGGGGGGGAATGAACGAATTCCTATGCCCCACAAATAACCCAGAGATGCATTTTAAATAAAAGGACACATTCTACTCATGTAAAAACACGCTGATTCCTGGGCCGTCTGAGGGCCAGATTGAGAAGGTGATTGGGCCGGATCCGGCCCCCAGGCCTTAGTTTGCCTACCCATGGTGTACTGAATCAAATTTCTCATCTGTCCATAGGCACAACATCAACTAACCTCCCTGCAAACAAATCAGAATGAATGCCCATTAAATAGCCAATTTTGCCTAATTTCCCCGTGAAGCTCCCTCTTTCTTTAACTATGATAGTTGCTTCTTGGAGTAATGTGCTATATGCCTGCAGCCTCAGTGACCATTCGGTCACTATAGAGACGGAGACCATATAAGCACAGAAATCAAAGTCGTTGCAGATCCTGCTTTAAACCAGACCGATGTTTGGATGTGTCTAGCTTCCGTAAGCTGGAGATCCTATGTCTGCCTTAAAGAATGACTCATTTCAGAAGAATGTGGGTATCAAAATGCACAGATCTCTCCAGTTCCTCACCAGTAGTTGCTAGAATATCTGTTTCTTGCTGATACAAATTCACACCCGCTGGGGGGTGGCGAGAAGCGCCGGTTTCATGCCTCACTTTGCACTGGATCAGGTCCAGTTACTCCGCTTACCATTATGCAACTTAAACCGAAGGCAACCCAATACCACAGGACAGATTTAGAATTGCCCAAACGCATTTGCACAGTTTGTTACCTGTCCAGAATATTTATTTATTTTTCACTGCACAAGTCAGGATAGGCATGTTAAGATGCTGCTGATATACAACACTTTCCCAAAGTGTCCTTAAAAGGCCTTTAAATCCATTCAAGAAGCTCAAAATGTGCCTTGGCCTTTAGTGGAATCCATCGACTTCCTCCTTTATACTTTATTTTCCCTGACAGTAAAGATCATAAGAGCCTGTTAGATCAGGACAGTGGTCCAACATCTTGAGATTAAGGATCACAGTTCAGATTCTAGAATGTTTATTCACAGAATTTAGAGTTGGAAGGGACCTTGTGGAATCTCATCCAACTCCCTGCGATGCAGGAATATGCAGCTGTTCCATACAGGTATCGAACCTACAACCTTGGTGTCATCAGCATCACACTCTATAACCAACTGAGCTCTCCTACTTTCCTTCAAGGAGTCCAAAATGGGGCACAGGCTTCTTCCTCTCTCTGCAATATGCTCACAACAGTCCTTCGCACTGAGGACAAGTAAGTTCTGAGCTTTACACTGGGAGTACAACTGTTGAACGCATCAACTCCAACCATCGTGGCCAGTGGTCATTTATTCCTCTGTATACCAGTTGCTGTGAATCATAGGTGGGCTGTTGCACCCTTGGCCTGCTTGTGGGCTCTCCACAGGCATGTGGCTGTGGCCATTGTGAGAACAGGATGCCCTGTTATGTTCTTCTCCAGCAGGGTTCTTCTTATGTTCCTAATGCTCAAGTAAAGATGGGAGCTGAAGTTCAATAACTTATGGAGGACCACAGGCTGACCATCTCTGGCTTAGGCAGAGGGAATGGCTGTTAAACCCAGTATGTCTGCCGTATAAGGATATGCTCTGAGGAAAATCTATAAGAAAATGAGAAAAAAAGATAATTGAGGCAACAGGGAATTATTATTATTATTATTATTATTAGTAGTAGTAGTAGTAGTACCCTGCCCATCTGTCTGGGTTGCCCCAGCCACTCTGGGCAGCTTCCAACAAAATATAAAAGAACTTCTTTAAAAAAAGAACTAAAAGATGTGTACCATGTTGTAGTTTGGGCTAATGTCAGTTGTGCCAGAAACTTGGTTGAAGGTTTAGCATTCATAATGCTGTATTAAGCCATGTTCATTAATGGTTACCGTATTTTTCCGTGTATAACATGCCCCCGTGTATAAGATGCCCCCTATTTGGGGGGACTCCAAATTAAGAAAATGGGGGGAGATTGCCCCAGAGTTGTTGAGGTTTTTTTTAGGGGGGATTGCTGAAAATCACTCACCCGTTGCCACTCACACATGTCGCAAAAGCCATCTTTTGTCTGTCCCCTTGCCAGCAGAAGCTGCCAATCGCCTCAGCAACAGCCAATCAACACCAGCCCTTGCCACAGTCACCAATAGCACGCACAATACCCACTGACAATCTCCGGCTCGCGGCAGCAACCAATCCCACGTCCCCACAATGCACTATCCATGTATAAGATGACCCACAATTTTTCAAATGATTTTTAATTTTAAAAAAACAAACCCTCATCTTATACACGGAAAAGTACAGTATTTTCTAGGCAATGACCCACAGCTGACTTTAATGATTTCAGAGTGTGCATCTAGTAGTTGAAGCTTGTTTTCAATTAGCTTACACAGTCATAAGGGTGATGATTGGTTAGGTTGGCATCTGTCTGTTTCCGGATATGATGGAAGAGTATGCCTTCAAGGGTGAAATCAAACTGTTGGAGAGTTACAGTGCCTGTGGTGGCTGTAGAGACCGAAACAGGAGAGATATATTTTGTTGCAGCTGGGGCAGATGAAGGCATCTGGTTGTGCTGTTGCAGATGCACCATGGTGTTTCTTCTTTCTGCACCCCTACCAGCGGTCATTCCTCCTCTGGTCACTGCTGGCCTGTCTCCAGGTGCTGTGGTCATCTGCAAGGGGTTCCCAGACAGCAATGGACCACAGGGCAAACTGAGTCTGATCTGGTCTGAAATTTGTTTGTTTGTTTGTCCTTAATTTAATTTTTTTAAAAAAAATATTTTTATACTGCTTTTCAGGGGGGAAAGGTGTACAACATTAAAAATTACACACAGACACACACACACACACATCAATACTACTAAGAAATAAAGATAGAATTCACAAAAATGAAAAACTCAGCACTCCAATATAATAATTTAAAATTCCAACCTCCATCAAGTGAATGGGACACAAAATTACTCGAGGAAGGCCAATTGGTACAAATGAGTATTTAAGTCCTTCTGAAAAGGTTGAAGGATAGCTACGTGCTGCTGTTCTACTGAGAGGGAGTTCCAAATATGTTTCCCTGCCATGGACCACTTGAAAACTGCAGAGCCTCTTGATGGATCACTTAATGATTATTCTTTTGAATTATTCTTTTGCATGTGCCTTAAAGATATAGTTGTGCATGCAGCCTAATTTGCCCAATGCTGTCACAAGTTCTCTGGGCATATTGTGCTGCTGTTCATTTGATCCTTAACCAGAGGAATTCGTTTCAAAAACAGCAGTCTACAGTCTTGCCAGAATCAATGCGAGCAAGCGTCATCTTGCCTTTGATTTCACTCAGCGAACGTCATCTATTTGTGCCTATAATTTATAAAGGTTTGCCTGCCCTTCCAGTAAACCCTGATGCTCTCACTACAACAGCCAGTATCTCCTGCAAGAAGTGATGGAATTTCCCTGGCTCAGGGCTGGGAACACTGCGAAGACTCTGTACCGTATTTGTCCCTAAGGGAAACCTCATCTCACGCTGCAGTCTCATGTGTGGGCTTGGGCCGAAGTGACATAGCGAGTGCTTCTGAGCAGAGTTGCCAGTCTCACGTCTATTTTGGGAACATCTCAGATGAAGGGAACTTACCTTGCCTTGGAACCTCAAAGATCCATGAAACGTAAGGGGCTTCCCACATAGAGAGCCAAAAATATTTCCTTGCCAGAGACAGAAAATCCAAAAAAGTCTTAGGTTTTTTGGAGCTCCTAGGCAAGGTGTTGTTGTTGTTGTTTAGTCGTTTAGTTGTGTCCGACTCTTTGTGACCCCATGGACCAGAGCATGCTAAGCACTCGTGTCTTCCACTGCCTCCCACAGTTTGATCAAACTCATGCTGGTAGCTTCGAGAACACTGTCCAACCATCTTGTCCTCTGTCGTTCCCTTCTCCTTGTGCCCTCCATCTTTCCCAACATCAGGGTCTTTTCCAGGGAGTCTTCTCTCTCATGAGGTGGCCAAAGTATTGGAGCCTCAGCTTCAGGATCTGTCCTTCCAGTGAGCACTCAGGGCTGATTTCCTTAAGAATGGATAGGTTTGATCTTCTTGCAGTCCATGGGACTCTCAAGAGTCTCCTCCAGCACCATAATTCAAAAGCATTAATTCTTCGGCGATCAGCCTTCTTTATGGTCCAGCTCTCACTTCCATACATCACTACTGGGAAAAACATAGCTTTTACTATACGGACCTTTGTTGGCAAGGTGATGTCTCTACTTTTTAAGATGCTGTCTAGGTTTGTCATTGCTTTCCCAGGCAAGGTAGGTTGATGAATAATTTGATGGTTTGCTGCTCTTTTGTGATTTTCCTCCCAAACTCTGTCACTTGAAGCAGCCTGCTTCATCTGATTAACATAGGTCTCTTGATTTTAGAATCCTCAAGTTCTAGAAGACATAAGAAAGAACTCCTGGGCTGGTGGCCCTGGCCCTCCGATGGACTCCATCCTCTACCCTATTATGGGGTGGTGAGACATAGTGAAGAGCAGAAGCAGCAGTGGTATACGATGGGTGCCTCTATGACACCCGCCATTTTGAAGTTCTCACAATGCCCTGATTTAACTTCATTCCAGGGTGTTGTGGCAATGTCAACATGGCTGCTTCCCAAAACCACCCATTGCTTCCGCTTTGTAAATCTAAGTTGGGGTAGAAGCGCTGGGCTAAAGCCAGGGCATCATCGTTAGTAGGTCCTCCTGACAGCTGACAGAGGGTACCAGGTGTAGCCACTGGTCCTGAAAGAACTTTATGTTTGGCATCCGAATATCTCATAGAGCAATTAACTTTGGGCCTTCCAGATGTTGCTGAACCACACTTTTCATCATTCTAAACTATTGTCCATGCTGGCTGGGCCTGATGGGAACTGGAGTCCAACAGCATCTACATTTAGGTTGAGTTTTTTAAAGAGTGAACTGAGGCTCCCATCTCTCTCACACACAAACACATATTTGGGTGCAGACACCATGCCTAGAACTCCATGTTTTTGCTAAATATAGCACTAATCTTTCACTATGTGTGAAGGTATATCTCAGCTTGAACCGTATTGACAAGCATGTAACACTATGCTGCTTCTCCATCAGCAGTCTACAAGTTGCTGTCAGGTTTTTTAGACTGGACTGAATTTTTGGCAAAATGAATAGCCATTAGTAGGTTTTTTTTTCTTTACTGTGTAATATAATTGCTGCAATTCAAACAGGTTTAATTCAAGGCTTTAGCTAATTTTAAACTGGGCAAATCGTTCCACCCCTACCCACCCCATTTCTAGTACAGCCCAGAGATACAGCCATTGAATTCCAGCTATAATCATGAAGAAGAAGGATCGTTTAGCCCGGAAAGGAGTCCTCCCTTATCAGCATTTTGAAGACACATTGCTTAAGCCACTGTTGGTACCCAAAAGTTGGCATTTGCCCTATTGCCGAAGAAGATCACAGTCATTGGGAAGAATTACTATCAGCAACTTCAGAGATTATGCAAGGAAAATTTAAGAGGTCTAATCAATCTACTGCAGTTCCAGATAAAAATTTCCCTGCAGATTCAGCAGACTGGACAATCCCAGAAGAAGAGGATTTGCAGAATAATTTTATTAACCTACCAGATAGAGAGCAAAGCGACATTCTCACCAAACTAGCTAAGTTACAATCCAGGTTGACCCAAATAAAACAGCATGGACAACAAAACATTGGTGAAACGATTTGACAATCAAGCCTTTCGCTCACAAGCTGTTTCTCCAAAACGTATAGTTAAAAAGAGGGCTACCGGAGGAACTTTTAAGTGCATAGATGCAGAGCTGCAAACTCAACCCCCCTTGGAATATGAGATGGGGAGGGACAATCCTGATGGTGTGGCTACAAATTCCTGGCTGAGCTATCAGAAGTTAGCTCCAAATGAAATAGGTAGTTAACAGTTTGTTATGTACTGAGTTGAATAGGATTCAAACTGCAGCAGTCTGATTGGTCCTAGAACAATAGGATCCAAAAGGCAGCAGTCTGATTGGTCCTAGAACAATGCAGCAGTATGATTGGTTGGCAGGAACCACCCAATCATGCTCCAGATAGAAGTGAATCCACAACCTGATTGGCTTACAGTAGAATTCCAGAATTAGCCAATCATGTGCAGCCCATTGTGTAAAGAATGTATATAAAGCAGATACTTTGAGGAG